ATTTTTTTCCAAAAATTACTTGTATTATTTTTCAAGTTTTCCTTTTAATTAAAGTAAAAAAAAAATTGTCATGACCTTTCTTAAGGAGACAAAATCAGTTAAAAAAAAAAATCCAATGCAAGGACATTTGCCCCAAAATTAAAAAAAAAAAAAGGTTTAGCTCACTAGACAATTGGAAGTATGACTTGTAGTATAACCCTCTGACAAGGACAGGAGGCAATAGTAAAATACTCCCACTGAACAAAACGAGAAGGAGTATGAATAAAGGAGTGACTTTAAGAGATAGAAACGTTTATTACGTACTGTATTGCATTCTTTTCAATTTAAATCTTCGGTCATTGTGGTCTTAAGTTTAATGAGGTTTAAAATGCCACTAATAACTAGGTACACATTCTCATGTTCCCTCCTGCTTTTGGTTCCTAACTTGATTTCTGAAGAAATCCTTGGATCTGTGCCTAGGAATTTGAGCTTCAAAATACTAAAAACAGACTTCAAGGAACATTGGGATCAATGGGACATTGTTATTTTTCACGAGATGGGTGGGCCATCGATTTTAATAACCCGGAACACATGCACTCTCCATTAAATGGATATATTCCTATTTTAAGTTTTATATTTCTCATAATTTAAATAATACACCCCCACCACGAACTATCACTGTCACTAATCAGCAATGCCTTCTCTGCCACCTCTGCTATGCTTCTTTACGTTGTTTTGTTTTTACTGCAGTAACCCTAGGATGAACTTTTCTAAATTTTAGAAAGTTTTATATTAGAACCGCAAGAAAGTTTATACTATGTAGCAGTACTTTATAACCCAGATCCGGGCGAAAAATATAAATGAAAATAACAAGAACTAATTGACATTATTTACGGAAAAATTAAACACCGCATCTCCAACCTTCATTAAACTTGCTACTCTCGCTCTCTCTCCCCCTCTGAATTATCTCCTTCCTTTTTCCCTGTTAACCAACTATAATCTGGAAGCACAGTTCGTTCTGGCCCTGGATTATTTATAAGAATTTGATTCCAATCAAACTTGTGAAATGCACAATCTGGTCTTTCAGTATTTTAGCATTGTTTCTAGATGGATATCTAGTACATGACACTCCGTTGAGTTTACCTTGGCGTGATGAAAATATATCCTTAATCAAATTACAACTACTGGCACTTCATCAGGCGTGAGAAAAGTATATAAGCAACAGATTTAAGAGCAGAAAGTGGTGCAGATATGTGAGATTCTATTCGCATGTCTGTTAGGTCCAAAGCTGCTGGAATACGGGCGTTTCCTATTGTCAGGTATTTTTTTCCCTTAGGTGTCAAGCACTAATGTCAGAAGTGAGGTTGGCTATTATTTGGGCTTATGGCATTGCGTGTTCCTTTCCTTTGTTGGAAGGCTGGTGTGTCTCTGTGTGACTATATAATGAGTATATCCTTCCTTTGGCCATGCCGAAGCCAACGAACGTAGAGCTGCAACGTTAAGAGATGTCACGGACGAGATTTGAAGTATGATTAGTATTTAATGGGAGCCCAAAATGGGAACCCAGCCATTGGATCAGGCCCCTTTAAAGCGGAAACAACCCCTATGCAGTTTTGAAAATGGGGCAGCAAATTGAAGATATGTGATGTGAAATTCCATAAACATCATAGGGTAGGGAGAGCAGGGAAGTAAGTATGTGCGACAGAAACCCTAGTACGAAACCACAAGGTCGCTGTGTCACTCACGTGTGATTGGCAGAATATGAGAGGAGGGGACAAAGGGCATGTAATTAAGGAAGAAAGAGGAAGAGGTTAATTGACATGGGTGGGGTTTGAACTTGAAGGATGAATATATGGAAAAACGTGAAATGCCAAACTCCAAGAAACGAAGAATAGTCAAGGAGGATGGAAGAAGGTGATGGGTCAAGTCAGTGTCGCCCAATTCATTTCATACCCAATGGAATTAATCAGATATAAACAGATAGAAGAACAGGTACGTAGTGTTGGCACTGTCTAATAAATGCAAATACCCTTCCGAATTAAACATATAATAATAGTATGAGCTCAGAGGGATGGTGGAGTGGAGTGGGGCTCTTTCTCAGAGGGACAAATCCCCAATTAATGCTATCAATATTACTTTTCCTGATCTGCCTCCGTAAGGCGTGCCTTTGTGGAGATATCGCCAACCTTCTTCATCCCTTCTCTTTCTTATTTTCCTTCTCCCTCAAACTTTTCTTCCTGGCTTTTCTACAAAATTCAAAGCCTCCTGCCTTTTCTCTTCCCCGTCAGTCCCGGTTATTTAAATTTGATTGAAACACGAGTATTTGAATTGAAAAAGAAAACAGAAAAAGAGGAAAAGGAAGGGGGTATGAATTCGTGGTTGTGAATTGTGATCAGAGTTGATGAATAGGAGAGGGATACAGAGACAGCACTGTCAAACTCAATTAAAAGCAAAGCTATGATTGCACCAAGTACGTCATCATTGTCATGCAATTTGGCAATGTTTTGTTTTCTTTTTCTCTTTTCCTTCAATTTTCATTTTGTTGTTTTGACTGCGTCTGAGAATTTGAAGGGGCAAGCAAAACTGCGCAATTGGGGTTGGGATCTCCAACACAAATCTCACGGTTGATATCGAAGCACTTGGTTTGCAATGGCCAATATGCTACATACAGTCACAGTGCCATCTATATGTACCAGTAAGCTGATGAGTGTTTTACAATATGAGGCCTCAGCTCCCTCCTTCCGATCTGTCCCGAGGGGGCTTGGTTTGTGTTCTCTTCTGTGCATCGGATTCTGGGTCCATTAAATGCCCATTTTGACAATTCCTGTGCAAACGGCCTTACTTTGTGTGGCAGAAGCGGAAGGGGTTTGAGTGTATCTCATATCATATCATCACTTAAATTCTCACCCACCGCTCTCTCGCACTGTCCTTTTTGTCTTTTCCCACTGTCTTCTTCCTTCTCCCTCGCCTTTACTCACTACTCTCTCGGACGTTCAAACTCAAGTCTGCTCATGCACTCATTATTTTATGCAAACTCACCCGCAAACTTTATGCTCCATCATCGTCTAAAGTATAATCACCTTCCTGTGCCACACCCCCTAATATCTTGAGCTATGCAGGCTCTGAGATTGCGCAATCAGATGTCCTTTGAATGCTTGAGTCAAACTTGTGAGGCAACCCTATACTAAGCTCCCTGCTAGACTTCTTAATGCCCCTAATAGCTAGGGACACTACCCCCACCTGATCATCACTAACCACCTCCATCTTGACAATATAATTTCAATCATGACCTTCTTTATAAAAAAAAATCATCACAGCAGTAATTTTTGCTTAGTACTGGGGTGCTGACTAAATGCTTTCATGTAATAAACTGCGGGATATAGTACGCGCCTACTCCTTTAATGTTTATTTATTAGATGATTTTTAAAGCCCAAAAAAACAAAAAAAAATCTCGTAGAAGACATTCTAAACTTTTTTTTCAACCCTTTTTGCTTGGAACATGCAAGCTGCTTCTAACTTCCTTCACTAGACATAGACACAGACAGGTCCCCATAATCCGCTACGCTCCTGTCCTCGTAAAGGTGTTAAGAACATGGTTGCTTCAAGAGTTGGCAGTGGATCGGAGAAGTGAAGGTGATGGCTGTGGAGAGAGACCTATTAATTTTCAACGTCAATTTAAACAATCAAGATCAGATCAAGTTGTCATGTTAATTTTGTATGTTGACCATTTTAACTGGAATTAGGTCTCGACATGATATATTACTTACTGCTTTTCCTTTTTAATGTTATTAGTACAATACTAGTTAGTGCGGGCCGAGTTAAAATTTTGACCCTCTATATGTAAACGTTCTTGTTAGAAAAAATCAAAACAATGATATAATTTCATGCCGACCAACTATTTAAGCTTCGCAGAACTATATTATATGAAGTACATTAATCTTCGCAGAGCCACATCGTATAGAGTACAATGAATGCAGGGATTTCGTAATGTAGTTATTCATTGACATTGACTTTGTAGGATGTTCTCAGGAGCAATTCAAGGAACTAAGAAAAAGGAAAAGTTTATGTATCTAATACTAGCTATACTAGTTTTTTATTTTATGGTCGCACACATTCCCAATCTTTCCTCATAGGTATTATTAGGAAGGGCCAAAGTTAGCTTGGGATGAACAGTTATTGCTTGGTATCTGTAACAAAGGACCGATAATTTTATATACAATGCTAAATCTAACTGAGTGATGAGAAGCGGCGTGGCCCATTGCATTTAGCTGAATGGCATGTATTCTATCTGGGCGTTGGATCATGAAAGTGAGTTGCGTTGGGACTCAACCATCTTTTGCTGTCTATCAAGTTTCTATAATTTTAGAAATAATTAAAAAAAGGTTGGAATTCACGTACGTAATAAGAAGATTTACATCCATTAATCGATTTGATGACATGGAGGAAATTGAAACTAGAAGCGCAGCAACATCCATCAATTTATAGATATAACAAAATTGTCTTTGCAAAAAGGAACGTTTCTAATAAATTTAGATGTCAGGCCCTTTCTTCCCCATAATATTGAATTCTTCCCACCTGCATGCATATCAGCCCAAAATAACAGCAACCATATGAGAAACTGGTTAGCTTGTATATATCGTTGTATGTGGGATGATCATCACTTGTTCACTTGATTGGAATAATAAGAACAATTATAAAAAGCAGCATCTTTTTAATAAACCAGAACATGATATAGTGATATATTAATAATATAAGCAAGGTCATTCTTTTTTCCAATCTAGGAATCTCCCATTTTATTTCTTTTCTTGGCGAAAACACAGGATTAGTGCAACAGCAGTGACAAAGGATCCATCCCAGTTCTCAAATTTACTACTACGTACCATGATGATCATAATAATGTATACAAACGGATAGCACAACTAGGCATTTGTTTGGATCAGTGATCATGAAGTCAATAACAGTAGAAATATGCATATATGTGGAATGGAAATTAATAATTACCTATGGCATATGTTACGTGAAGTGGATTTGAAAGGACCCAGAAACCCTAAGAGGGATCAATAGTTCGACGATCGTCCCCGGCAGCAGCTCGAGGGTGCTGATGCGGAAACTGATTGAGCTGGCCTATGCTTGCAGAGACGTTCATGGACAGGAGACCAGCGTCATAGTTGTTACCCGCATCAAATGTCCTGATCATGGAGGACTGATGATGGTCTCGAGGGAAGAACTGGTGGTGGTAGTGATGGTGGTCGCCGATCAGGTTCATGCCCATATTCTGGGCCTGGTGGTGAGCCGCGATGAGGCTGTGGCCGGTGATGCCCAAGGTCTGGTACCTGGACAGCTCCGACTTTGCGCAGGTGAGGTCCATTTGCAGCTGCCGGAGCTGGTGCTGCAGGAGAGAGATCACTCCCACGCAGCCGTACACGGGGTCACGGAGGCGCATGTCGGCCTCGTAGGCCAGAGAATTGACGGCGTCTTCACGCTGGTGGGGGTGTAACTCGTTCAGGAGCTTGGTGACATTGCTCGCTCCAAATACTTTGTGCACATTCGCGAATTTCTGTGGCTGATCTGGGGGGAAGTAGGGTGCAAACACGCACTCTGGTTGGCACTTTCGCCGCAGAAACTTGCAGGCCGCACATGGTGAATTCGATGACGACGCCATTCTTCCCTCTCCCTCTCCCTCTTTTATTCCTCTGCAATTACTCCAATATTTGTTTGATATGCGTGAGATAAATTCAGTAAGACATATATTAGAAGGAAAGTAGAGAAACATTGATCAATTCAAGTATATGTGCTAGATGAAAACTATTCTACTAATAATGAATATTGGAAGGAATCATGCGCAGTTGAGGCCCACATATTATATGGCTTTGAAGGATCTTGATTTGGTATTTCGATCTGCTTAGACTGAGACGCGAATCGACGCTCTAATCATTCTCGGCTTTGCGCTGCGGTTGACAAACAAGTTATGTTATATATTGCGTCTTGCGAGATCAGAAGTACCTGTAATCACACGAAGAAGACTTTATGGAACAAAAGAAGTCTACTTTTTCTCATCAATACCCAGGAGATGAAAGGTGAAGTGATCAGGAGATAGGAGTGGCTCCGCAGAGTAGGATCTTGATGAAGAAGAGGAAGAAGAGGGAGTTTAAGGTATTTTATTTGCTTTTAAGAGAAAAGGAGCGGAGGCAGAAAGGGAGAAAAGGGGATACAATTGATGGTGCCGGTGGATTTGACGGATTGGATCTCGTAAAGAGAATTTTTATGTCACTGCTTCCCATGAAAAAAGTTGCTGGGCCGCAGATCATGCTTGAATTTCACCGCATAAATATATTATAATATATGTTAATTATTGATCACTCTTGAGTACATCGTTTTCATTCATTCTCTGCACATACTAGTCCAAAGCGAGAAAAGAAATTACAAAAAAAAAAAAATGGAGATTTTCAAAGTAACATGTGGAAGTAAAGATTAATCGGAGAAGAATGAGATGATGGTTTTGAGGCTAACCAAGCAGAGTGCTGAAATAAAATACCGCTACAGTACATATTCTGATATATTCCTCGATCGTGGCGAGCTAGAGATCCTAGTAATGATAGAATAAAATATGCAATGATGGAGAAGAATAGAGGCAGCTGGCCGGTTGACGGAGTGGGGATTATTACTACCTTGAATATGGCTGGCCTCGATTTCTTGGGTCAACTTTCTTGGTGTCTAGCGAGTTTCTCTAAAATTGTACTACGCCTAGTAATACCAAATAGATCACCGTCCCGATCCCGATCGCCGGCGGTGACGGGGTTGTATTCGGAAGCTGCTCTTTCTGCGTGTGGTTCTTTTGTTAATGATACAAGCAGTTGGGTTCCGAAATTTGTGGGGGAGTAAAAAAGAGCGGCTAGAATTAGTAGGTGGGAGATGAGATGGGAGTCTTGTGACATGCACAATAGTCGCCGGAAAAAGCAGGGGGAGCGGGGAGAGCACAGAAAGATGATGGAGCAGATGACATGTAGTTAGGGCGGGGAGTAGTGAAGTGGAGGTGACGCCAGTTGCAGAGGCTAAGGAGACGGGCAGAAAGAGGGAGAGAGAAGATGGGGGAGGGGGGGGAGAGGGGAGGATGACGACGACTATAAATATAAATATTTAGTTTGAGTTATTTGGTTACTGAAAAAAGAGATGTTGCAGGAGGGGGTGTAATGTTGTGTTGATGTGACCCTTCATCAAATTTCCTATTCTCTGTACTTTGCTTCCTCGCAGGACGCTCAGCATCTCTCCTTTTTGGACTCTCTCCCCCGCTCTCCTCTTTGACCTTTTACATTCGTCCCCTCCCGGCTCTCCCCACCCCTGCCACCCATATCTCTTCCTTTATCTTCCATTTTCTCCCATTTTCTCATTCAAAGTATTTCATCCCCCACTTTCGACGTCAACTTCGGACCACGTTTTAATATCATACAATTATTAATTAATTAACTAACACACTTGCCCAGTTGGACTCGAGAATATACAGGGATTTGAATATTCCCTCGTCGTTTTTTTTCCTCTCTTCTTTTTTCTCTCATTCCATTTTTATATCGTTAAATTAAAAAATAAATAACTGAGTGTCAATGTATTGTCAAATTATGCTTATATTATTAGATAAATAGTAAATAAATTAAAAAATTAAATTCTCATTTGGAAAATTCATAATTATAAATTACCTCAAGATTGAAAACAATAATGATTTTATGCAATATTGAATTTCAATAATTCATATTTTTATTCAACGGTAACGATGAGATGAGGAGGGGAAAACGTTAAAAAAAGAGGGGGGGGGGGTAAGGATAATGATGCGGGGTTACTCCGTGAAGCTGCTTTCATACTCTTCCATTACGCTAACCAAAATAACTAATGCAATACAACTCGCTTGATGCGGAAAGGGGGAAAAAAAGGAAGAAAGTCACACAATTCGCTGTCCTCGCTCCTCCATTTCACACTTCCACCTCGGGACTAACGATTTATTCGCGCTATTTTATTTAAACACATTTAGTTTTTCAGAGATATATTTATTTAATTTCAAATGCTGATAAAAATCTTTCGACAGTTAGTTCGTTAACCTTTTGGGCCATCACATAATTGACCGAACTAAGTCCACAAAAATTCACTTGGGTCTACCTTTTATGGCCGAACAATTTCTAGTCATTGTTCTCATATTAAACATATGTTTTAATCTCTGGGCCTTATTCTCCCTCTGTTGATAAAATTAAGAAAAACTCCAACTAACTCACTGAAATCGACAAATCAGTTTAACACTATGTTTGGTACGGGGTTTTCGGAGGGGAAGGGGAGGGAATTGCTCCCCTCCCCTTGTTTGGCTGGTATAATTTTTTAGAAGGGGAGGGGAGCTCCTCCCCTCCCCTTGTTTGGTTAAGATGTTTTTTAAAGAGGGGAGGGGTTCTCTCTCCCCCTCCTCTTCCCTTCTACTAGCCTCCCCTCCAAAGTGAGGGTTTTTTGGAGGGGAGGTGAGAGATAATATTTTAATTCCTTATATGCCCTTTCGATTTGTTAACCTCTAATCAGTCATAAACATTTTTACATAAGAGAGTTCTTTTGAGTATCTAATAAGAGGTTATTAAGATAATTATCTCCAAAATTAGCGAGCATTTGTAAACTTTTTTTCTCCTCTTCTAATTCTAAGAGGCCGTTGGTATTTTCTTTCACCTTCAAGGTCTTTTCTCTGATTTAAATCTATCACTCGTGACTTTTTGTCTTGATATTCTATAAGTGTGTGACTGTATCTTGCAAATCAAAATTAGTGAATTGTATTATATATATATATATAGTTATATATTAACAAAATAAAAGTGAGAAAATTCATTTAAATTTTATGAGGCTAAAATAGTCAATTTTTTATTAGAACAAAATAAGGTATTATTAAAATTGCTCCCTCCCCTCCCCTCCAATCAATCCAAACAGGAGATCATTAAAATCCCTCCCCTCCCTTCCCCCTCCCTCCCCTCCCCTTTATAGCTACCCTCCCCTTTCCTCCCCTCCCCTTCCCTTGATTAAAATCCCTCCCCTTCCCTCCCCTTCCTTCCGTCGAGCCAAACATAGCGTAAGTGATTGGCATTGTCAATAAAACTATTAACAGTCATGAAAATCGTTTGGAAACAAAACAGTAGATTTATTCGAATGAGAAAAAAATCGTATACATGGATAGAAAACAATGTTTTTTTAATGCGGGTGAAAAAAACACAGTCGATTTATTACTGAAAGAACGATAGAGCCACACATTGCTACGCTTGTGTTGAGCCATGATTAACCAAAAAGTTGATGGCAGGAGGAAAAAAAACCAAAAAGTTGGATACCGATTTTGTTATGCAAAAAATCTGAGACGTTTGACTTAAATGGTGACTAAATTTAGCGTTATCCGTCGGTAATGAATGACGGCGACAACTGTTAAATACCAAAATGGTCGCCCAAGTTGTTGCTTATCGTTTAAGCTTGAAAACACCTGGCATTCGAATTGAACCCATGACCCCAATGCCAAGCACGGCCGGCCGGCCGGCACGTCCCCCAAGACGACTAACATAGGGAACAACAAATGAAGGCCTTCTCTTTTGTACGCAAGCATGGCGTTTGGCTCTGCATGAACCCTACTTATTGTACTATAGAACTTGAGATTCCTTTTCCACGCTTCCCAAGTGTGTCTTAGAAATCACTCTACAAGAACTTGAATCCGGCCGATTAGACTAAAGGGCAATAACTAACTACCATTACGATCTCCGTGAGGGGACGAGGAAGGCCATTAAGATGTGCTTGTGGTGGATGACTGCATTAGCAGTAATGGCAGTTGCCGCAGCCCAATCCCTGCCGGGCTGCCCCGAAAAATGCGGAGAAGTTGAGATTCCATATCCGTTTGGGGTAGGCGCTCAATCTGGTACGGGTAACGACTGTTTCTCTGAGAAGCCCTTTCATGTGGATTGTAAAAACTCCACGTTATTCCACGGCAACGTCGAAATCTCAAACATATCCCTCCAGGGTCACATGGATGTGTCCATGCCAGTTTCCAAGGTTTGTTTCAATGATACAGGGGGAGTAGTAGACAAGATCAGAGTCACCCTGTCAACTCCTGTTTTCACCATCTCTAGCACTGAAAACAAGTTCGTAAGCGTTGGCTGCGACACTTACGGTTACTTAAACAGTTTCCAGGACAGCCATACATATTCCACCGGCTGCTTGACGCGATGTAACGGAGTTCCCAATCAGCAGAACGATGGAACCTGTTCTGGGATTGGGTGCTGTCAGGTGGATGTTCCTCTGGGAATGAGGAATATAAGTATTGAAGCCTTCAGCTTTAATTTGCAACGAAAGGCATCCGACTTCAACAACTGTACATACGCTTTTGTGGCCAAGGATGGTTGGTTTAATTTCTCTACGGCCGACCTCAGGTCCTTACCGTTTGAGAAGGCTCCGCTGGTGGTAGACTGGGCCATTTCCGACGGCACATGTGAAAGTGAGAAGACATCGCCAGACTATGCCTGCAAATCCAACACCGACTGTGAAGACTCGGGCCATGGATTCGGGTACCGTTGCAGATGCAAACCCGGTTTTGAAGGCAACCCATATCTTCCCACGGGTTGCCAAGGTCATTCATTAATTCCCTTCGTTTCTTTGTTTGTTCCTCTGCTTTATATTCAGTAACTTATATGCGTTCTTGGTACGTACGGACAGATGTAGACGAGTGTAAGGAATTGACCCATAACTGCACAAGTGAAGATAACTGCCGTAACACCGTTGGGTCTTATGAATGTTATTGCCCTCGCGGCTACACTGGGGATGGTACCAAGGAAGCAGGATGTCACCCACCCTGGCGCCACAACCCGCTTACAAAACTTCTCATTGGTAACCATGTTAACGTTTTGAACTAGCCAATAAACATATCTTAAATTTGATTCCCCGATATTATTGGCGTGTTGTTCGAGTTATTTTCACGACAACTTCTCACAAAACCATTCAGGGGGTATTTATCATAACAACTATAAAATTATAGTCGATATTTCTCAGATTTTCGTGATGGCATCCCCTTCTTTTTATCGCTATGACTTTAGAAAACAATTATAATTACAGGTACTTGGGCCGCCGATTATTGAATGCTCTGTTTTTGTTTCTTCATTCATACAGGTGCAAGCGTAGGATTGGTAGCTCTATTTCTTAGTGTGGGCTGGATGTATTTGATGTACCAGAAGAGGAAGTTGGAGAAGCAAAAGGACAAATTCTTTCGACAAAATGGGGGCGCTGTTTTGCAACAGAAGCTCTCTGTAAAAGAAGGCTCCTCCCTCACAGCCAAGATCTTTACTGTTCAAGAATTGAAAAGGGCCACCGACAACTTCCACGACAGCTTAGTTATTGGCCGAGGCGGTTTTGGTACTGTTTACAAAGGAATTCTCCCAGACAACACTAGTGTCGCAATCAAGAAATCAAAACTGGCGGATCAAAGCCAAATTGAACAATTCATTAATGAGGTGATTATACTCTCCCAGATAAATCACAGGAATGTGGTCAAACTCCTAGGTTGTTGTCTGGAAACAGAGGTTCCTTTATTAGTTTATGAGTTTGTCAATAACGGTACCCTGTACGAATCCATACACAACAAAAGCAAAGCTTCTGTCTTTACTTGGGAAACCCGTTTGAGGATAGCAACAGAAGTGGCAGGAGCACTGTCGTATCTACACTCTGCTGCCTCCATACCCATCATCCACAGAGACGTCAAGTCCTCTAACATCCTTCTGGATGACACTTGCACAGCCAAAGTCTCTGATTTTGGAGCTTCCAGATTAGTTCCACTTGATCAAGTGGAGCTGGCCACAATGGTACAAGGTACTTTCGGATACTTGGACCCAGAATACATGCAAACGAACCAACTCACAGAAAAGAGCGATGTGTACAGTTTTGGAGTTGTAATTCTGGAACTCCTAACAGGAAGAAAGGCGCTGTTATTTGATGGGCCAGAAGAGGAGAGAAGCCTCGCAATGCACTTCCTATCATACTTGAACGAGGGTCGCCTGTTGGGAGTGGTTGAAAGAGGGATGGTGAATGATGGAAATAAGCAGACGGTGAAGGAAGTGGCTGAGCTTGCAGCGAGGTGCTTGAGACTTAAAGGAGAGGAGAGACCAGGCATGAAGGAAGTGGCTATGGAGTTAGAAGGAATAAGGATGATGGGGAAACATCCATGGATCAACAACGACGAGGAATCACGGTCATTACTTCGCCAGACGTCCTGTTTTACTGAATCTGTTGATAGCATGGTTTATAAGGACACTGGGTGGGATAGCATTACCGATCGTGTGCTGATTAATTTAGATGATGGAAGGTGACTCCTCCCTACGACATCACCAAATTTCTGCGCTTTGCAGCTGTACTTTTTTAAAATAAAAAATGCAACTGTTTTGTCTATTTTCGTTTCAATTAATATGCAACCATTTTTTTTTTTTTGCCAGTCTTATAGATGCTCTTGATGATTGAAATCAAAGATACTACTATTAAGCTTCCTATATGATCCCCTTGGCGTTGGGAGTCTTTCGGCGTACATTTAAGTTTTTTTTTTTTTTTACCTGAGCGTATATTTAAGTTTTTTCAATGTACCTTTACTCTTTCATAGTTTCATGCGCGTCTATTCTTTTGCCATTCTTTTTATTATTATTATTTTGCCTTTCTTTTGCCGTTCATTTACTACAAATAATTTCAAATGCCACTTGGTCGATAAAAATTATACTGATGGCTATCGGCCCACTCATTTGACCAGTTCACTTTATACTTTGTTTGTTTCATTGTATTTATTTTGTTAGGTGAACATCTTTGTTTCATATTATATGTATTTTCTCAATTCCAAAAAAAGAATATTCCGTATCATTTTTCTATTTTACTCTTTAAATAAAATAATTTTTTAGATGCATTAAAATACTGTTATTAACAAACAAAAGGGCAAATTTAGTAAAATGTACACACACATATCTGTGCGTTGGTCAATTTTAATTGGTTATAAATTTGACAGATTAAAAGAGGGAGGTTATTAGTACACAATAGTCGATGGAGCATGTTTGACTAAGCTGCACGTGGTAGACAGAAATTCGATATATAATACTTCCTCGGTCTTAAATATAAGATTAATTTTCTAATATATAGGTTTTATATTTAGTATAGGAGGAATAATAAAAACTAAAAGGGAGAGGGAATTATCAAAGAATGACACTGCTGGCACAGCTTCAATATGATTCATCACATTTTTGGCCAAAAAAAAAATGATTCATCACATCAACAGAGCGGTATAACGAAATTGAACCAGTCCCTTTAACGCGTTCGCACGGATATTTTAAAGTCGGTTTAAACAAGGATGCCGTCCTAAATGAACAAGACGGCATTGAAGTTTTCAATTTGACCAGTCGCTCAAATTGAACATTGTATTTTACACACAATAGGCCAGGTGTGTATTAAAGAGGAGCTCGCAGAGCTTCCTGTTGAGCTAAAAATGGAGACGATGCGACTTACAAAGCTTTGGTTCATTCCATTATTATTAGTAGCCGTAGCAGAAGCTCAATCCCTTGAAGGCTGCCTCCATAAATGTGGAGATGTACAGATTCCATATCCATTTGGCGTTGGCGTGCAACCTCGTACTGGTCGCAACTGCTTCTTCCAAGAATCATTCAATCTCACCTGCAATATACCTCCACCTCCACATTATTCTACGGAGACCGCCCAGTTTCTAGCATATCTGTTCAAGGTGGTCATCTTGACATTTCCATGTCTGTCTCCAAGATTTGTTACAATCAACCTGGCGGCGCTGGCTCTGACAGTCACTATCTCGGAAACACTCCCTCTTTCGCCATTTCCAGCACCCAAAACAAGTTCGTAAGCGTTGGTTGCGACACTTTGGGCATAGTTCAGTTCGAAAACAATCGTACTTATTATGGTGGCTGCGTGACGCTCTGTGACGCGCCTCCTCAACAAGATTTGAATGATAAAACTTGTTCGGGGACTGGGTGTTGTCAGGTGGATATTCCTGTGGGGATGAGGAATATTAGTGTTGTGGCATCCGCCATCTTCAACCACTCAAACGTGTTGGATTTCAACAACTGCAGTTATGCTTTTGTTGCCAGACAGGGGTGGTTTAATTTCTCAGTTGATTATCTGCGAGACTTTCCCCTTGACACGGTCCCGCTTGTCCTAGATTGGACTGTTTCGGATGATACTTGTCAAGCTGCTTCGGCCACGTCAGATTATGCCTGCACCTCTAACACTGATTGTGTCCACTCCAATGATGGATTTGGGTACAACTGCAAATGCAAACCCGGTTTTGACGGAAACCCATACCATCCAGATGGATGCCACGGTAATTCCATAATTCCATTTATTCTCCAAGCAATTAGGTAAAATTTGATCACTTTCTTTTTCCGATGCAGCATTCACTTATACCATTCCTTGCTTGTGCAATGATATGAAATTGCAGATGTAGACGAATGCCAGGAATCGACCAACAACTGCATAAGTAAAGAAAATTGCCGCAACACGATCGGGTCTTTTGAGTGTTTTTGTCCACCTGGCTACACTGGCAACGGAACCACGGCCGGAGGATGCCAGCCACCCCTGTCAAAAAATCCCCTTACTATGGTCTTCATTGGTAAGGCGTTTTCTCAGTATTGCTCCTCTTTTGTTTCCTTCATTAAGCTAAGCTAAACTAATCGTGTAAGTGTAATATGTACCTAGTCATCTAAAGTCCCTGTCTCCTTCGACATATGCAGGTGTAAGTATAGGCTTGGCAGCTCTCTTTATGAGTTTGTCTTGGTTGTACTTGGTCTCCCAGAAGAGGAAGCTCATCAAGCAAAAGGAGAAATTTTTTCGTCAGAACGGCGGTTTCATACTGCAACAACGACTCTCTGGTGGACATGATCCCTCCCTTGCGGTTAAAATCTTTTCTGCTGAGGAATTGAAAAGGGCCACCAACAACTATCATGACAACTTGATCATTGGCCGAGGAGGTTTTGGTACTGTTTATAAAGGATTTCTCCCAGGCAAGAAAATCGTTGCAATCAAGAAATCCAAACTGATGAACCAGAGCCAAGTTGAACAATTCATCAACGAGGTGACCGTACTCTCCCAAATAAATCACCGTAATATAGTCAAGCTCCTAGGTTGTTGTCTGGAAACAGAAGTTCCTTTATTGGTCTACGAGTTTATTAATAACGGCACCCTCTTTGACTTAATGCACGACAAAAGAAAATCTTCTCCGGTCACTTGGGAAACCCGTTTGAGGATAGCATCAGAAGTAGCAGGGGCACTATCTTATCTACATTCCGCTGCTTCCATACCCATAGTTCACAGAGACATCAAGTCCGCTAACATTCTTCTAGACGAGAGCTTGACTGCCAAGGTTTCTGATTTTGGAGCTTCCAGATTGGTTCCGCTTGATCAAACAGGGTTAGCCACAATGGTACAAGGTACTTTCGGATATCTGGATCCGGAATACATGCAGACAAATCAGCTGACAGAGAAAAGTGACGTGTATAGTTTTGGGGTGGTGCTCGTAGAGCTGCTAACTGGGAAGAAAGCCGTTTCGTTTGAGAGGCCAGAAGAGGAAGTAAATCTGGCAATGCACTTCCTTACGTACTTGAATCAGGGTCACTTAGATGAAGTTGTTGAGAAAGGCGTGATGAATGATGAAAATAAGGAGAGGGTGAAAGAGGTGGCTATGCTTGCAGCAGGGTGCGTGAGACTGAGAGGAGAGGAGAGACCCAGCATGAAGGAAGTAGCAGGGGAGCTGGAGGGAATAAAGATGATGGGGAATCAGTTAGGGGTGAACAAAGAGCTGAATCTGGAGGAAGCTCAAACTTTGCTGGGCGAGACGTCCAATTTTACTGAATACGGTGATAGCATGATTCATGGAAACAGAGTTTGGGATAGCATTAAGGATCATGTTCTAATTAACTTGGACAGCGGTAGATGATAACTGGGATCGGCTCCACCAAAGTTTTTGCCCTTTTGCCTTCCCCCGCCCTCTCTTGATTATTGCTTGAGATGGTTTTTGTACGTATTTTTCTATTTTCTTCTGAAAAAATATAATTCTTTGTAAATTGGTTCATTTTCATGTAATTTTATGTTACAAAATATTCAATATTCAGATTTGATACATTAAAATGTGGTCATCATTATGCGACGATGATAGTTAATTGCTATTCAAAATTAAACTTCTTATGGACGTATAAATCGAGACCCTCTGGCCGGCTGCATCAGAAATTTGTTAGCTATATATTATTTTGGTCCTATTTATAAGTTACTTGCAACATATTTCATACAGACTAAGAAAAATCTTAAATTTCATTAACTCTCATTTAAAATTCATCAACTTTTCAACTTTATCTCTATTTAATATATATTATACCTCATATAAAAAATCAATACAATAACAAATGAAATACAAAATTTTAAGTCCATACAATAAATTTTTCTTAGTGTCTTATAAATAGGACAAAAGAATGTTTTCTCTCTACCCTATAAATAAGATTAGAGGAGTACACTGCTATTTAATATTTTGTAAGTAAAACAATGTTTTGCACTCTCATTTACTTATTATTTTATTATTGATTCAGTGTAGTAGATAATATAATGGCTGGCAATCAAAAAGATAATATATATGTATTTGCGACCCGAAAAGACGAGAAAAATTAATGGGAGAACAAATAACATATGAATTGTTAAATCATAACTGTCTTGCCCTACAGGAAAAAAAAAAAAAATTGTCAGCATGACCCCCTCCGTTGATTCTTCTTTTCTTTAAAAAACAAAAAAAGTGTGTGCGCAATTTCGCGGTGGGCAATTAGATTTTTGGGCTGTCGGCAAAGAGACAAAAGTATATTTTTGGACGAAAAGAACGTGTTGGATTGTTTCAGGAAAATGATGCTGTTCGGATCAGAGCGTTCTTTTCTTGTTTTGCCAACCAAAAAAAAAAAACATATATTAAGTCGGTAATATTATCTACTAAAAATAGCTCTCACTAATTTTGAATTGATTAGATAAACCGCAATCAGTTACCGAATATGTAATAGATGTTCTTCAATTATTTAAGGAATATCTCATAAATTACAGCCAATCAATAAATTCTTTCTTTTTGGTCACATCAATGATTTAATTTTGAATGTTCATATTACGAATTCCAATAGAAAGAAAAGATGTGGAATTTTTGCTGTCAATTAATTTTGATGCAAGATTTGAATTCTGTTGATGATTGATTTTGTTCGTATCATTCCAAATTTTGATTGATTATAATTAGATTCGATTATTTTAAATTTTGCTTGAACCTCATCTGAACTCCAAAGCCTAGAATTAATTAAACTTAAGGCTAAAAAATCAAATTCAATTATTGATTAATGAAACCATTTTTTGATCGTAATAAATTTCTAAATTGATTAAAAGCTAGGCTTCAATCAAATTTAAATAATTAAATGGCGAATCAATGTATAATGTAATTAGTGTTGATTGGCACTCACAGATTTTGCTTCCCAAATCGAAATGATGACGAATCTGGTTAACATCATCTTTGGTCCTTAAATCGCCCTAACAATTCCCAAGCAGAATTCGAATCATTGATGAACAATCCTTGATCGAAGAAGAAATCATCTGTAATAATTATACCATACTACGTAGTATTGTACTGGAGCAGCCAGCTGTATCATCGTCTTCCGCATTCCCGTGCTTCCCTCAGAAAGTGAGCCGATGGCCCTGAAGATGGTCGTCTTCATTCTAATATTTGCTGCAGCCATGGCTGCAACTGGAGCTCAACCCCTTGCAGGATGTCCCAACAAATGCGGAGACGTGGACATTCCCTATCCATTTGGTGTGGGTGTTCAACCTCGTACTTCTCGAAACTGTTTCTTCGACGAACCATTCAAGCTCACCTGCAACAGGTCCACACTATTCTTCAGGGACGTCCCAGTTTCAAACATATCCCTCCAAGAAGGTCAGATGGACATTTCTATGCCAGTCTCCAAGATTTTTCTATGCCAGTCTCCAAGATTTGTTACGATCACTCAGGAGTAAATCTAGACCAATCTACTTCCAGTTTTTACACCGGCGCCTTCACCATTTCGAACACCCAAAACAAGTTCATAAGTCTTGGCTGCGACACATTGGGCGTTATTAGTTTCCTCGACAACCTTAGCTATTCCGGTGGCTGCGTGACGCTGTGCGACACGCCTCCCCCAAAGGACATCAACCAGAACACTTGTTCGGGGACCGGGTGTTGCCAGGTGAATATTCCGGTCGGGAAGAATAATTTCTCCTTGGAAGTATCCGCTGTCAACAACCATGCCAAAGTGCTGGGCTTCAACAATTGCAGCTATGCATTTCTCTCCAAGCAGGGCTGGTTTAATTTCTCTCTCGATTATCTACAGTCCTTTCCCTTTGACATGGTTCCTTTCGCCTTAGATTGGACTATTTCGAATCTTACTTGTCAAACTGCTTCCACTAGTACCACAGGCTATGCCTGCAAATCCAACTCGTATTGTGTGGACTCTCATGATGGAGTTGGCTACAATTGCAAATGCAAAACTGGTTTTGAGGGAAATCCATATCATCCCGATGGATGTCACGGTACGCAGTTCTATGTATAATTCCATTTTTTTTTCCCCAAACATTCACTTACACTCGTAGCATTGACTATTTACTAATTAATAAATTACTTAATAGCCTTTTCTTATTTTCAGATGTTGATGAGTGTAGCAGACCTAACAACTGCAGTATTCCAAAGCAATGCTCCAACTTCGATGGGGGTTACAACTGTTCTTGTCCACCTCGTTATAAAGGCGACGGCTATACTAATGGGACGGGCTGTACTTTGGAACATCGTCGATCTAAGTATAAATGGCTTGTCGTTATAGTTGCATTGGGTAAGAATATGAATGACTCTGGTTTATTCTACTATTATATACTCTTACAGTTCTTAATATGAACCCTACTTAACTAATTTGATTAGATTAAAAAAGTTAGATAAGTTAATTAATTATAAAAAATGATATGTTTTTCCTAAAACATTAGAATCATCTTTGTTAATATCTTTCTTCCTTGACTTACTTGATTATGGTTAATAGAGTATCCATAGTGGTAATTTAAAAAAATTGATAAATATGAGAAATAGATCTTATATTTGAAATTAAAATTAATTTAACAATTAGGTTCTATATCAAGAATCGGAGGAAGAGTCTCTCTTTGCGTTCTGTTGAAAGAATAAAATAATTATTTTTGTTCAATTAATGTTTTATTTATTTTAACACATGGTATCGAGTTTGAGATCGTAATGAATCAGTGCTCCAATCAATTCACTCATCAGCAACTAATAGGTTCATTCTAATAAGTTTTATTTTCTGCCCGTATCTTAAATATGAATGATGTATTCTAGAATATCTCATTGATTAGTATTGTAAGGTCCACAAGAATTTTATCATCATATGCAATGATTTGCATGTCCTGTTTATTTTATTTTATTATTTAAAATATTTTTTTTGCGTTCTGTCTAACAGAATCTTTTCTTTCTTTGTTTAACGGTGTTTTTATCTATATGTTGGCAACAAAAAAAAACCGTGTTTTTATTTATAGATTTTAACATAAGGCAAGCGTATTTGTCTTTCTTCATCCATATATAATATGATGGATTTTTTATTAGGTAACTTACCCTTTCAGAGGATTAATTCTTATTGACCATCATTCACATGCCAGGACCACCATATAAATCCATCCTAACAAAAATTAACATCCCCAGATTTTCAAAAATAGTTATGTGATATCTCGGTTTGTTTGTGCTCTATCACATTGGTAAACGAAGTTTTCTTCCCCATTTCAAAGGACGGTTTTATTTATTTAAGGGAGGGTTCATGTCGTGCTGCATTTCTTGCAGGTTTTAGTGTGGCCCTACTGGCTGTCTTCACGCTTGTCTCATCATTATGTTGGGCGCATAAGCGAAGAACTGTGAAAAATCTTAAACAAAGAAATTTTGAGCAAAATGGAGGATATATGCTACTTCGACAACTTTCACAGCAACAGGGATATGCTGAAAGAACAAAAATATTCACAGAAGTTGAACTTAAAAATGCCACAAACAACTCTCACGAGGGTAGAATAATTGGTCGTGGGGGACAATGCATTGTTTACAAGGGTATATTGCCTAACAATACTCCGATTGCAATCAAAAAGTCGAGAGTAGGATGGGATTCTAGACAAATTAGAGATTTCATTAGTGAAGTAGCCGTGCTTTCCCAAATCAACCACAAAAATGTTGTCACTCTCTTGGGATGTTGCCTAGAAACAGAAATTCCTTTGTTAGTTTATGAGTTTGTGGAGAATGGCACACTTCTTGACCACATAGATCCTATGAATACTCAGTTTCCTCTTTCATGGGAGACACGATTAAGAATAGCCACAGAAACTGCTGAAGCAATCTCATATTTACATTCTACCGCGTCAATTCCTATTGTCCATCGAGATATCAAATCTGCTAATATACTTCTAGATTGTAACTTCAAGGCAAAAGTGTCTGACTTTGGAGCTTCAAGGCTTGTTCCTCTCGATGAATCTCATGCCTCCACTGTGGTGCAAGGGACATTTGGATACTTAGATCCAGAGTACCTCCATACAGGCCAATTGAATGAAAAAAGCGATGTTTATAGTTTTGGGGTCGTACTGGTGGAATTATTGACTGGAAGCAAAGTAGTAAAGTTCAATAGACTAGGACAAGTAAATTTGGCCATGTATTTTGAGTCTTCAATGAAAGAAAACCGTTTGTGGGAAGTTCTGGACAAACAGGTGTTAGCCCAGAAGAATGTAGAGCAATTGAAAGAAGTGGCTTTATTGGCAAGGAAGTGTATTAGAGTAAAAGGAGAGGAAAGGCCCACGATGAAAGAAATATCAAAGGAGCTGGAGGGTCTGGCTGCAAATAAGGAGTGTCTTTTGATGAAATCAGATGAAAGGGAATACTCACCTGCTCATG